TGCATTACCGCATTCCACTACCGGCTGTCTCTCTCCTACACACGTTTGCAGACGCGAGCATGCAAGCGTGACTGGCGCCCTCTAGCTGGCCCTCAACAAAAATACATCAGCGCGCCAGCAATATCCACAAGTGACAAGATTAGAACAAATCACAGCAAGACACCGGGCGAGCTGCGCAGCAGAATCTGGTTTTCTGTAAAAGCTAAACCCACAACAGCGATTGTTGCAAAGTAAAGCGCTCCTGAAATTGTAGTCTGCACTTCGCTCAGCGATCGTCAGAAGACGCGCACTAGTCCAGCGACGGCCAGGACCAATCTATGTCTAACGCAGGAGCCATTGGCACCTTTTTGCAGTGACCGCAAGCATTCCGCCACATATGTTGACGAGCTTTGCTGAATGGCACTGACCTTGTATTGGGGGGGGGGGAGGTAGTAATTGTGGTGTGCGCGTGGAAGGTATCGGTGGACATCTCGGGGGCGACGGGCCCGTTTCAATAATAAATGATAGTGAATAAACACGAATTGTATTTACTACCTATTCTCTTTCGCCTATTATTAGTAATAATTTCTGGTATCGTTCCTAAATGCTGGTCTAGATCACACCAATCACACCGCACGCACGCCACTGTGCCACAACTCGCAAAATAGACTTGCTTTCGACCTTTCTGTATTGTACACTTTCTGCGTACAATCAGCACCCAGGGTTCTCTATCTCACTCCTTTCGCGTCGATGCATCTTACCTTTTAGTGGGTATGAATCCTCAGCAAAGCCTGTCTCTCCTTCATGGCTAGACAACTCTCTCCCACGCTACAGGCTCGAACGACAGCTCCTAGAAGCACGCAACAGGGAGAATTATTACAAATACGACACCGAGACACACGCGCACGCACGCACGCACGCACGCACGCGTACGCGCTGTCACGCACGCACGCACGTACGCAGTCGCACGCACGCACACAGACCCACAAAGACACTTACACAAACGCACTTACACACAGAGAGACACACACGCACTGTCCACGCACACGCACGCGGCACACGCACGCGCACACGCACACGCACACACACACACACACACACACAACACACACACACACACACACAACACCACACACACACACACACACACTTACACACACGCGCGCACGCACGCACATATGTACGCACACACGTACACACGGGCGCGCGGAAAACCCACACGTACACACACGCGCGCACGCACACGCGCGCGCACGCATACAAACACACACACACGCGCGCGCACGCATACAAACACACACACGCGCGCGCACGCATACAAACACACACACGCACAGATATCGCACATACGGCACAAACTTCTCACTACACGCGTCTCTACTCTCTATCTATAATCGCGCGGAAACCTCACCATATAAAGCGAGCCCGCTGAATGCGCACACAGTCGCACGTGCTCTCGCAATACATAAACCGGCGAACAAGCACAGCTTGATTGAGCAATAAAAGCAGAATTCCATGGTTAGAACCCGAGACGTTTGTGCTTTTATTGCGTGCACGCATCTGCTACAAGAAATGCCATCGGCTTGTTATCATACATGGGCCCCCAAATAAAGCTGTTAATCGCTACCATTAAATTGTAGACATATGACGTCATCAGTTTACGAGCTACATAACGTCAGCATTAGAAATGACTGGCGCAACCCACTCACACACAGGCACGCACGCACGCACGCACACGCACACACCCGCACACACACATACAGACACGCACGCACGCACACACACGCACCCCACATACCTAGTATATCAACACCCCTACCTACACCCTCACTCACATTCAGACGCTCTCATCCGTCTAGTTTATCCACACTCCCGGTCCCACCAAGTACAGTCCGCTACGTCTCACCCACACCTACATCTACGCCCCCACAAACCTCCACCCCTACCAAGGCCTCCACATACCCCAAAAAGAAATACGAGCGTGTTGTTAGGGTACGTGGCTAGAGAACGTGTGCTACATACAGATTAGACGCGATGCTAGCAGGCTATAGATCGGCACCTCATCGCGTCGTCAGGCTCATCCAATATTCCTCATCAAATAGATGCGGTCAAATAGATTAGCAATATTAGACTCGCAAATGCGATTACCACAGCAGCTGTAATATGAATACATAGACCTACGCACGTACACGCACGTTAGCAGTATAACAGCAATACGCACCTCCATCACATCAGAGGGCCACCACCGCCAGCTCTGATAACGATCGATAAATCAGTTGACGGTTAAATCGATGACGTCGCAACCATAGACATCCTATGGTCGCAACACAAACAGCGCCCTCTATCGCTGCTGCAAACAAGCACAGACACGCACACACGCGCACACGCACACGCACATATCCACGCACACGCACATTCACACGCACACACACACGCGCGCGCGCGCACACACACACACACACACACACGAGCGCGCGCGCACGAACACGTGCATACACACACGCCCTATCTCTCGCGCTCTCTCTCTCTCTCTCTCTCTCTCCCTCTCTCTCTGCGGTGGCAGCGGCGGCAGCGGTGGCAGCGGCGGCAGCGGCGGCAGCGGCGAGCCTTTGATCAGCGATGCGAGTGAGAACGTTTCACGCGCAAAGAAGCGTGATTGTATCAGCGTGCCGTGCGCCTAATTGCATAGAGGAAGCGCGTTAGCCTCACGCACGCACGAACGCATACGCGCGCACGCACGCACGCACGCACGCACACACAAACGAGGGCACACATGCACACACACAGGCCGAGTATGACTGATGTATTCCACGTGACGTCGTCTTCAAAGAGAAATGTACATTTGATGGAAAATAGTGTTCGTAAGACGGCCGGTGCCGGGCTTTAACATGGATAGCCACGCGAGTTGGTGTCTGTATACACGCATATATGTCTCGATCACCTAAAAAGAACTCGAGTTGAGAGAGAGAGAGAGAGAGAGAGGGGGATAGATGGGGATAGAGATAGAGATGGAGGGAGAGAGAGAGAGAGAGAGAGAGAGAGAGAGAGAGAGAGAGAGAGAGA